TCATCTGGTCCTGATTCCTGGAACAAGCCCATTGGCACCTTTATTGGAAACGAGACCGGCTCTGCGGAGGTCAGTGTGGCGCCAGATGGGTCCTTCTCTCACGCCCAGGAAAGTTGGGGATTTATAACTATGGGGCACGAGGGTCTTGCTAAGCTGCTGTGATGCCCCAAAGGGGCGTGGCACAAAGGCAACACAATCAGATAATCAGTCGAAGTCCCTTTAGTAGCTCCAACTTTCCCCCCAATGACTTGGTTACCTTCTGGGCTGGAGAAAAACTCCCCCCAGGAACAGCTTTTGGCTGCAGAGATTCAAGTCCAAAACGTGGTCAACAAAAACTGGAACTATAAGTCCAATCAAGGCAAAATGAGGTCATTAGTCCAGCAGGGCAAGAGAAGAAAGTCCAGAAGTGAAGGAACGGCAGTAATTCAACCCAGTTGGGAGGATACCAGGAATGCAGATAACCAAAGTCAACACAAGATAAGCTCACGTTTGTTCCCAGCAGCCGCAACTCTCGGCTTGCATCTCCTTTAAACTCTCTTCCAGCTGTGGCTAATGAAGGGAATCAGGGCCCTTTCCTCCCCCGTAAGCCACGCAACTCACGTTGCTCTCTTCTCCGTTCCTCTCTGCGTTCCCTAGGATGAAGAGGGGATAGGCCTGGGTCTTCTTCTGAATTCAGTCTCCCTTGTTCTACCTCTCCCCTGCTCTGCCCAGCCAGACTTTGCCCTTCCCCAGTTTCCTCCACAGCCAACGGAGAGCAGTGGTCCAATATCTGAAGGGCTGCCCCAAAGAAGAGGGAGTCAAGCTATTTTCCAAAGCACCTGAAGGCAGGACAAGAATCAACCGGGGTGGGGGACTAATCAAGGAGAGAAGCAACCTGGAACTAAGGAGAATTTCCTGATAGTTAGAACAATTAATCAGTGGAACGACTTCCCTCCAGAAGTTGTGAATGCTTTTAAGAAGTTTTTAAAAAGAGATTAGACCACCATTTGTCTGAAGTGGGGTAGGGTTTCCTCCCTAAGCAGAGGGTTGGACTAGAAGACCTCCAAGGTCCCTTCCAACTCAGTTATTCTATTCTATTCTAAAAAAAAACAACCAAACCAACATCCGGTTAAGGTGAACGCAATTCATGTCGCTCTAACTCCCCCAGCCTCCCTCTTCCTCGCAGGGGTTCAAAGGCAGCCAGGGAGACAGCGGCATCGACCTGAGCGCGGAGTCGCGGGAGTCTTCGGCCACTTCTTCCCAGCGCAGTTCTCCGTACGGCACCCTCAAACCGGAGGAGCTGAGCGGAGGCGGGCTGGCCGAGGCCAAGGGAGACGGGCCGAAAGAGCCAGCTCCGAAGCCGTTGGATAAGAAGGTAACCCGCCTTTTCCAGTCCTGGGTAGCCGAACCTTGGCTCAGGTGGATGGCGGGAGGAAACGGAGGAGGGCTTCGGTCTTTGGCATTTTTGTCAGGCCTTTGGTGGAAGACACACACACACACACACACACCAGTTAAGGTACAATGCCTCAGTCCCTGACTTCTTGGGAGGTGGGTGGAATATGGGTAAGCTTTATCCGAACCCGACGGTTTAAAACCCGGTGCCGTTCTTTTGAGCCTTCAAAAGGCGTTCCTCTAAAATTGGAGGGCAAATGGAAGGTGAGGATGGAAGCAGAGAAAGCGGAGGTGTGGAGGGACGAACTTTTTCATGTGGGATCCTGTTTTGGCCGATTGGCTGCTTTTAATAATGAACCAAAAAGTACAGTCCTTTATCCTTTATTTCCTTTTATTTCTGCCTCTGTTTCCTCCCTCCCTCCCTCTTTATCCCTGCCTCTCTTTCCTTTCTTCTTTTCTCATCCCTCCCTTCCCTCCTCCCTCCCTCTTTATCCCTGCCTCTTTTCCCATCCATTCCTTCTTTCTTTCTCCCCTCCCTCCCTTCTATCCTTCCTTCCATCCTTCTCCCCTCCCTCTTCCTCCCTCTTCATCCCTGCCTCTTTTCCCATCCATTCCTTCCTTTTTTCCTTCCTTCCCTCCCTCCCTCTCCTTTTATCACTGCCTCTTCCCTTTCTTTTCCCGTCTCTCTCTCCCTTCCCTTTTTCACCTTTTCCCCATTCGTCTTTTCCTCCCTTTTCTTCTCTTCCTTCCCCTTTCTCTTCCTCCCCACTCTCTTCCTTGCTTTCCCTCTTTTCCCATCCCTTTCCTCCTCCTCCTCCTCCTCCTTCTCCCTCCTCCTCCTCCTCCTCCTCCCCCCCTCCTCCTCTTCTCTTCCCTCCCCTCCCTCCCTCCATCTCAGCCTCTCTGTTTTCTTGCCCAGGACTCGGAACAAGCCCTGACCCCAACCAAGGACCACAAACCGGGGCCCATCGGCAACGAGCGCTCCTTGAAAAACCGAAAAGGCTCGGAAGGGTCTGAACGGCTGGAGGGCAACATCGCCCCCACCAACGGGGTGGAGATTCACGTGGATTCGGTTCTCCCCGTCCCGCCCATTGAATTCGGAGTGAACCCTAAAGTGAGGCCCCTTTGCGTTTCCTTCTTCCTTTCCTTGGGCATCTCTCTCTCTCTCTCATTTCTCCTCCCTTCCAAGAGTCCCAAGTCGAAGGGGACAGTCCCCTCCTCAATTTTCCTCCCCTCCCAAAGAAGAAAGCAGGTGTGTGGAGGGCCAACTAATCAAAAGGTGCATTTGCCCCACACACCTCTCCCAAACTTGGGCAACTTAAAGACTTGTGGACTTCTACTTCCAGAATTCTGGGAGTGGAAGTCCACAAGTCTTAAAGTTGCCGAGTTTGGGGACCTCTGCTTTGGGAGGTTTAACCCTCCTTGCTTTCCAGTAAACCCAGTTGCAATGTGGAGGGTTGATTGGTAAAAAGAGACCGATTTGTTGCAGGATTCGGACTTCAATCTCCCCCCTGGCTCATCTCCTGGCACCCCGGCCAACCCAGTTGCGAAGTTACAGAACGTGCTAGCCAGCAATGTAAGAATATTTTGTGGTTGGTGTTTTGGCTTCTCTTCACTCTTCGTCTTGTCTTCTTCCTCCTTTTCCTTCTCCTCCTCAGTCTTTTCCTTCTCTTTCATTTTCCTCTCTTCCTTCGTCTTCTGCTGCTTTCTTGTTCTTTCCCATCTTCTACTACACCTCTTCCTCTCTTCCTTTTTCTTCTCGGTTATCTTTTTTTCATCTTTTTCCTTCTTCCCCTTTTCCTCTTCTCTCCCCCACTTCAGCTTCCCCTCCCGTTTTCTTTTCCTCGTTTTTCCAACTCCTTCTCCACTTCCTCCTCCTTCCTCCTTTCCTCCATCTTTTTCTTCTTTCGTTTTCCTCTCTTTCCACTCCTTCACCGTTTTCTTCTTCCCTTTGTTATTTTCCCCTTCTTACTTGCTCTTGTTTTATTCACCTGCTCTTATTTCATTCTTCCCCCTTTTTCAGTTTCTCCTTCTCTACTTCCTCCTCCACCTTCCTCTCCTCCTTTTGGAAATCAGGTGGAGATCTTCCCCGTCGTTTGGGAAATTACACACAGCTTAAAATGTGATTTGCATGTGCTTGTGTCTGTGTTTATGTGTGTACTGCTCTACAATCTCTTTAAGAACTGATCTCCCAGCCTGCTCCTTTACTCACTGTTAATTCTGTCCTATTCTTTGTTTGACTGTACATTAGGTTTCCACCAAAATGTTTGCTGTCAGTTAACTGAGGCTCTTTTTCTTTCCACGAATCTTACAGAACTCTGCAAACCCAACAAGGTTTAATTGTATCCCATCTATGTTTCAACAGTCTGGATTAACCCAATCCCTCCCTGTTATTCGAAGAGACCATCAACTTCCCCGTTGCATCAGCTTAAACATATCTTATCCTACGGCAGATCTCACTCTTAAAGTAAGTTTTTGTGGATGGGGTTAACTCCCCAAAAGAGAAGGCACTTTGATGGACAGGTATCACTGCCAATGATGGACCACTGTCATCTCCCTCTCTGAGGAAGATGGGCAGATAAGAAATATGAACTGTAAATAAATAAAAAATTAAAAGCATACATTTGTCATCCTCAGGGCCTTAATCAGGATAACCAGATACAGGTAGTCCTCAGCTTGTGACCACGATTGAGCCAAAATTTTATGTTGCTGAGTGAAATATATGTTATTTCTGACTTTCTGGCCCGTCCTTTGGATGCTACGATGCTAATTCTTGTCCCCCCCTGTCCTCCTGCAGATGGAGTCAGCCCGAAAGGCGTGGGAAAACTCTCCCAGCCTTCCCGAACAGAACTCCCCCGGAGGCGTTGGCTCTGGCATTCAGCCTACATCCAGCATTGGGGTTTCCAGTGGGGTCAGCTACAGCTCCTTTGGGGGTGTTTCTGTCCCCCCGATGCCCGTGGCCTCTGTGGCGCCTTCTTCGATTCCAGGTGCGTCCATTTTTTTGAGAGCGGTGGGAAGAACTTGTAAAGACATGCTCTGCAAATGGTTGCTCTGACTAGGATTCGAAAATGTATCAGTCCTGGCTTATGGCTGTCCAGTTAGTCTTTCATTTCTGGTCACTTCTGCTTCTCTTTGTGCCTCATCAGTGTTACTTTACTCCTATTCTATTGTAAGCTACATTAACAGAATCGTTAGAAAATCTGTTTATATATAGCACCTCAGAGCAAACAAAGAGTACAATCACCATGTGCTTTACTGCTTAACTATTTAACTATGACAACAAACTCTGCTTAGAACAAAAGAGCATAGAGTATATACCCTCGATCCAAACTGGTAAATACTGCCATCTGCTGGCTTAATACTACTGTAGTTGTGGCATAGATATATATTCCGACAAGAATTTTGCAAGTCTGGAAGTATAATTCTCCCACATTTCTCCAGGGAAACTATTCGCCTGAGAAACTAGGGAGGGTCAATTCTTGAGTCTCTCCCCTTCTCCATCTGCAGGCTACGTAGTCTCTTTCTGATTGTACCCTAGACAGTGTCTTTGGGCACTACATCCCATGATGATTTCCACATAGCATAGCAGAAGGACTCGTGCAAGCTACATTGAAAGCTCCCTGTTGTAGTCTCTGTGATGTTTCCAATGGATCCTTCTGAGCCCCCTGATTGTGCAGTCAGTCAAAGGGCGTTTGAAGAGATTCTGTGCCTGAGAGACTCTTGGCTCTGCTGCCATGTCCAGAGAGGGGGGAGGGAACCTTTGCATCTTTAAGTGGAAGGGAGAGCGAGGGAAACATTTGCACATGGACAAGATTAACCTCTCGCTTCTTTTCCCACCCACTCCAGGTAACCACATCACACCCCTTTATTTAGATGGGCATGTGTTTGCCAGCCAGCCGCGACTTGTTCCCCCGACAATACCTCAGCAACAAAGCTACCAACAGGCAAGTCACTGCTTTGCGTGTGTGTGTGTGTGTGTGTGAGTGTGTGAATATGTCCTGTGTGAAGACCTGCACCAATCAACTTT